TATATATATAAAATGGCTAAGGTTTTAAGTCTTAGCACTATGAACCTGCAGCAGCCACTGCAACATGAATTAGACCCCTGAGCAGGCACAGCAGACTTCTCCTGTCTCTGCCACTGCTCCCCTAAGCAGTGGATTTCAGTCAATCCACCTTTTCTGCTCCCCACTCTGTCTCTGGTGAATCCTCTCACCCTCACACCTCTACATTACATCCCAGTTCCTGTATGCATGAAGAAAATAAATCTTTAAAAGAAAATAAAAAAAGATTAATAATATATGAATTTCACCTTAACTTTAAAAAAAGTCTACAATTTAAAAAATGCCAACTTATAAGTCTTCATAATAATCTGGAATAATGAACAGAATGATTCATGTAAATAGTGGAGGGGAAAGAGAAATAAGATTCTCATGGCAAACCCAGAAAAGAACTCATAAGAACTTCCATTTCTACAACTTTGGATAGACAAAAAGTCTAACGGATTGACAAGGTATTTCTTGTAAGTAAAACAAACTAAAAAGTTACAGAAGAAAAAAATTTAATACAATTATTCTTAATTCGTCATTAATTTGTCATAATAAATACCAACATGTCCCATTTGTCTTTATGAGATCCTGTATTGGTAATATGAAATTCTCAATAACCTGAGGAGGAGGTTAAAACATGGAGAACATTCCTCTTTGTCTAGCTGCTCCTAGTTATGACTGCACATAGTGACAGCTGAGGAAAGGCTAAGATGGTAAAGGTCTTAACAAGGCTCCAATCATTAAAAAAACAACAACACTTATTTTCTTTTTCTTAGATACAAAAGTACAATGTAGAACTTAAAATTTTGTAGTCAGAAAAATATTATTTAACATATACATGCTAATCACTACTTACTGTTGCACATTACAGCCACATAAAAGAGGGAAAATAAAATGAACATCAAGGAATGGAGGAAGATTTGGAGGAAGAAAAACTAAGAAGAAAGGCGGGAGAGGGGAAATAAGAGGTAAACAAACTGAAGGGCCTGGAAATAGACATGGAATGGAAACTGAGGCTTGGCATTCTGAGATGACTATCAACAGAGTTAGTAGAACAGCTTTTCTTGCACTCTTCAAATGAAGCATAAAATACAAAGTTATCACTTTTTGAATACTGTTCTCTCCATATTGTTTTAATAGTTAATTAGGATTCATAGTTGTTTGACAGGTATTAAACACTAAACTTGCTAGGAATCCACAAGTAGATTTAATTTCTAAACAGCAAAGGAATTTGTAAGGGCAATTCACATTAAGAACCTAGTTAAAGACTCTTAGGGAAGAAATTCTCCATCTTGAATATACAAGATCTTTTTATGAAGATCTCTGCTTTATAAAAAGTCAAACAAGGATCCTCCCTGGTGGTACAAGGGGTTTAAGTGCAGCACTATGGAGCTACCTGTAGCTACTGCTACATGAGTTTGATCCCCAGCCAGGGAGGTGACCCACATGGTGCAGCAGACCTCTCCTGACCTGTCTGCTGCTCCCCCTCAGCAGTGTATTTCAGTCAATCCACCTGTTTTCTCCACTCTGTCTCTGGTGAATCCTCTCATGACCACCCTCCCACGGCTTAACCCCCATCCCCTGTACCTCTGGCCTATACCCTAGCTCTTGTAAGCTTAAATAAATCAAAAAAAAAAAAGTCAAACAAGCAGTCAAAGCCAGTGTTTATTTTACTAGTCTGAAGCTGCAGCTCACTGTTTTGCCCAAATAAGAATGATATCAAAACAACCCAATTAAAAAATGGGGAGGCCCTCCCTGGTGGCGCAGCGGGTTAAAGCACTGCGCTAAGAAGCTAAAGCCACTTCCGCATGAGTTCGATTCCCGCCTGCCCCGGAGGCAACCACATGGTGTGGCAGACCTCTCCTGACCCGCCCGCTGCTCCCCTCAGCAGTGTACTTCATCGATCTCCCTGTTCTGCTCCCCGCTCTGTCTCTGGTGAATTCTTTCACCCTCCGCATCTCTGGCCTGTACCCCAGTTCTGTACAAATAAATAAATAAATCTTTAAAAAAAAAAATGGGGAAATGGTCAAATAGACATTTCTTTAAACATATACAAATGGCCCGTAACACATGAAAAGAAGAACATTACTAATCATTAGGGAAATGTAAATCAAAACCACAATGATGTGCTACTATTCATCCACTAGAATGGCTATTACCAAACTCCACCCCATCAAGAAAAATCCCCTAACTTGAAAATAACAAGTGCTACAAAGCTATAGAAAAATGGAAGCCTTTGTGCTCTGCTAGCGAAAACACAAAATGTGCAGCTACTATGGAAAAAAGTATGTGATTCCTGAAAAAATTAAAATTAGAATTACCATGTGATCCAGCAATCCCACCCCATGATTTACTACCAAAAAGAGCAAGAAGTAGGGTCTTAAACAGATATCTATCAATATATTCATGTTCACAGCAGCATTATTTATAACAGCCAAAAGGAAGAAGCAACCCAAGCGTCCACAGACAGGTGAATAAAGAAAATATAGTAGACTGGAATATATTTCAGCCTCAAAAAGGAAGTACATTCTGACACAAGTTATAACATGAAACAAACTTCAGAACATTATGTTAAGTGAAGTAATTTAGCCACAAAAAGAGAAACAGCTTATGATCCAATTTATATGAGGTGTGTAGAGTCAAACCATAGAAAACGGTTGTCAGGAACTGAGGGAAGGGAGGAATTATTATTTATTGGGTAGTTTCAGTTTTGGAATATGAAAAAGGTTCTGGAGATGGATGGTGATGACAATTACATGACAATATGAATGCACTTAATATCACTTAATTGTACACGTAAAATAGTTAATTTTGTTATGTATACTTTACCAAAGTTTGAAAAAAATGCCTATAAATGGCAACTTAGTACATAACTTATCAAGTGCTTATTATTCCAAAACAAACTATATTATTAAAGTAGAAAATCATAACTAGTTTTAAACCCAGATGTATCCAATGTGCCATCTTATTTTTTCCTAGGTTTATAGAGCTAGTCAAATAAATTTCCAAAATGGAAAACCATTATTTTTTTAAAGATTTTTTTTATATATCTATGCATGTAAGAGCTGAGGTGTAGGTCAGAGGTGCAGGGGGGTGGAGTGAGAGGATTCACCAGAGATAGAGTAAGGAGCAAAACAGGCAGATCCACTTAAACACATTGCTGAGGGGAGCAGTAGGCGAGACACTAGAGACCTGCTGTGCCATGTGTGTCTCCTCCCTGGCCGGGGATCAAACTCGTAGTGCTATAGTGGCTGCCAATAGTTTTATAGTGCTGAGACTAAACCCCTTGTGCCACCAGGGAGGAGTACAATTATTTTTTAAATAGAAATTAACTTCAGCTTATACAATATTTAATACTGGGTAACATAATTATATCAATTTTAAAAGCTGCAACTATGTTAACTACAGTGTAAATATATGTGGCATTAATACACATAGTCTCTAGGGGGCCTCCCTATTGGCAAAGGGGTTAATGACACAGCATGAGTTTGATCCCCAGCCAGGTTGCTAGTACATAGAGCTGGAGCAGCAGATCTCCTACCTGCTGCTCCCCTTGGCAATGCATTTCAGTAGATTTGCCTGTTCTGCTCCCCACTCTCTCTGGTGAATCTTCTCATTCCCCACACTACTGACATATATCCCTGTTCCTATATACATAAATAAATCTTAAAAAAAAAATGTAAAAATATTCAATAATTATACATTCTAAAAAGAGCTTTAAATCTGAAAATAACTTGGGTTCACTTTACTCAAAAATTACAGTAAAAATAAAAACTGTTCATTAATAGTTATTATTTATCTATACAGAACTATATAGGTAATATTACATCATGAACTTTGCCTTTGACTTTTACACATGCAAGTATTTAGATTATGTATTAATTTTAAGTAAGTATTGATGCTTATAAAGTATATACAAGAAACATTACATTACCCTGCCCCTCCCACCTACTGTTCAACATTTTTTCACTCTTAAATAAAAAAGTATTTCTTACTTGGGGCAGGCAACCCACCACTTGATCGTTTATATTTGCTCTCCTTTAAAATGGATGTAATCTTATATAAATGACGGAAACCTGTTTTGCACTCAGAGGCAAAAATAAACTCAATTTCATCTTCATGACTTTGGGGAAAAACATGAAAGATGTCATGGATCTGTAAAATGAATAGCTTAATTTATTATACATATTAATGAAATACCACACAACTCAAATTAATCTAGAGTAAAAATAACTTCATAAGCATATTCTGAAACATAAATAACTATCAATGCTAAGGGGTACATTTAGAATTGTAGATTTTGCCTCAGCCTTTCAGATTTATCTAACTTCAAAGACTTCATCCATTGAGAAATGTTTCCAAATAGAGAAAAATGTGACCAAAAGTTTTTTCTTACTCATAATCTCTACAATCCTTTGAAATATGAAATTGAGGTTTAATGGTATAAATCTTAATACAGAAATTATGAAATTTTATTTTTTACTTTTCTTTTCCAATGAGAAGTAGTCTAACAGTTGAAGGGGAACAGATGTTCATCTGCTTTAAATGAATCATATGAACCTTATATTCAGCCAGAGTAAGCTGACTTTATTTTGTCTTTTTTTTTTTTTTTTGCTAAATTGTAAACTGCATAATTCAAGCCAATACTGGTATATTTTGGTACATTTTAATAACTTAAAAATGAAAATCTCCTAGATAGAACATTTGTGGTTCTCTCACTGATGAGGCTGTGTATTCAAAATCTCATGTGTTCACAAACAAGGGCAAATCTACAGCCATTTCAATGGCTTCTATTTTCTCCTTTACAAACCTTTCTATTTTGGAACCATTATTCCAATTTGAAATATTCAAATTAAGTAAATTAATATTCATGTATATTCAGAATTTAAAAGAATTCATCTCAATAGTTTGCTATAAACTTTTACTTGCTTTAACAGCCTGAGAAAATATTCAACCAAATACAAGGGAAAAGCCCACATACATTTATCCAGATATCTGTTGTTTCTTCATAGATAATCAGTGGGGTAACAGAATCAGGCACTGATTCAATGAGTCTCTGTCTTTCCATAGCATCATCTTCTACTGGGATAAACAGTTCAGGCGAAATCAACACTATCTGTAGGCGAGTTTGGGAGCGATCTAGTAGGATGGACCAAGCACTATTTAAACAAATAAAAGAAAAGCACCAAAAATAAAGCAACCTCTTAGAAAATCCTCTCATTTGGCACTCGTCAATTATTTCTGTAATCAAAAGGAAAAAACTAACTTAGTATATATTATCACTAACAAATGGCTAATTAAAAATACTTGTTTGTTAAGTTTTAATAGTTTTTAAAAGTGATTTTCTTTAAATTTCTAGAACCACACATGGCCTCTAAAATTGCTTTCTTACTTTTTGAGTCTACAAATTCTAGCCTATACTAGACACAGGAACTATATGTAATCTTCTTCCATAATCAACTTCACAATATTTATGCTTACACAATAAAAAATATATATATTTACATTTGAGCCTTGAAGTCATACAACTTAACCACAAACAGAAAGAGAATGTAATGCACCTAAGCTTATTGGATTTCAAAACCACAAAGTGCACTCAGTTCAGAAAAAATTCTTCGTGCAAAAATAACTAAGCTGCACATTTAAATATATGTGTGAAGGTAGCTCCAAGTATAAGGTTAAAACTAATAGACATTTCTAAGGTTTTGGATCCTTCTTTAGTGGTAAAGAAGTTACAATTTAACATACGCACTATTTTCCCTCTGGAGTCCATCCAGCTCTGGCAATATATTCAACACCTTCAAACAAAATCTCAAAAGGCTGTATTAGTTCCTTATCAATGACATCTATAATCTATTAAAAAGAAAAAAGAATGTAGTTATAAAAGACACAGACATATAAGTAGCTTACTAATCTACGTAAGTAATTATCAGTAACAGCATAATAATTTTTCAGGTTTGGGCCCTTAAAAAGGCACACAAAGTATAGCAAAACCAACAAGAAGTTGTATGTTACTTACACTGGTGCTCTTTATACCTAAAAAATAGTTGTCATCACAAGAATCAGTTCAGTCTAAAAGTTTTTTCCTGTGAATTTACATAAGCAGGATACTTGATAATAACTTGTAAAATCAAATTTCAATCACTTTAAACTCTAGTACCTAAGAAAAACAATAGTTCCCTGTATTTCAGCTTAAAATACTACTGTTATCTTATTAATGGACCCAAGTAATACAACTTTTTCCCAGTATGTCTAGTTGAGGGCTCTCCCTGGTGGCCCAACGAGTCAAAGCACCACATTATGAAGCTCTCTGATGCCTTTGCAGCATGAGTTCGCTCTCCCCCCACCAGGGAGCTGATCACATGGCGTGGCAGACCTTTGCTGACCCGCCCACAGCTCCCCTCAGCAGTGTATTCTAGTACATGCCTGTTCTGCTCTCTACTCTGTCTCTGGTGAATCCTCTCACCCACCACACCTCTGGCCTGTACCCCAGTTCTATAAGCATAAATAAATAAATCTTTACAAAAAAGTAATTAATAAAAAGAATTGGTTTTTTTTTTTGATGGGCAAATGGTCTGAACAGACAGTTCTCAAACAAGATATACAATGACAAACATGCACTCGAAAAGAGGACCATCAAGAAATGTAGCTATCAAGAAAATGTAAATAAATCAAAACCACAATGAGTACCACTTGAAACTCACTAGGGTGGCTATAAATATTGAACAAATGATAAGCAGTGTTGATGAGGATGTTGAGAAATTGAAAACCTCATAACACTAGTGGGCATACGTAACAGTGCAACTACTTTGGGAAAACAACTTGGCAGTTCCTCATAAAGCTAAACATTAATTATCACATGATCGAGTAATTCTACTCCTAGGTATATATAACCAAGAAAAATGAAAAGGTATATCCACACACAAACTTGGATGCGAATATTCACGATAGTGTTAATGATAATAGCCAAAAAGTGGAAACAACCTAAAAGTCCAAAACTGATAAGTAGATTTATCAGATAATAATGGTACCACATGGATGAATCTTGAAAACATTATAAAGAAATCAGACCAGTGACTGTATGAAATTATACAGTCCATTTATATGAAATGTCCAGAATGGGCAAATCAATAGACAGAAAATAAAAAATGCTTAAGGCTAGGGGCAAGGAGAGGTACATGGTGACATTGGGAAATAATGACTAAAGGATGTGGGGTTTCTTTTTGGAATGGTGAAAATATTCTAAAATTGTGGTTATAGTTGTGCAATCATGTAAATATACTAATTCTCATCTCAGTAAAGCTATTGAAAAAAGCTGAGCAGAGAAGACAGCTTTTAAATTAATCTTGTATGCATGTAGCTTATATGCATTTGACTATCCAACTGGCCAGGAGCAGTACAAGAGAAATGTGGATGTTTAATGTACTATAGAAATCTACACAACACAGAAGGTCACTTATCATCACTATCAATATTTTAAAAACACTGATCAGAAGTATTAGTCAAAGAGGAAAAGATATTGAAAAGGGTGATAAATCTATCTTGGAAAGCAGCAATACTTTTCAAAGTAGAAGATGAGGTTAATTGGAAATCATGATCCAAAGATGCTCCAAATTCAACAAGTTCAAAAAATTAAAAAAGTGTAACTGACTAGATGCCACAAAGTGAAATGAACATTTTATACTTACCCTTCCTTCTGCATCAATCATTATTTCTGACATCTTAAAAGTGACTTTAGGGTTTGCTGTACCTTTAGAAAGAGACAAATGAATAATTACACTTTTCAGTATTCAAAAAAAGGGAAGGAGGGCTGAATTAAACATCAAAAATCCATTTGAAAAAGATTAAACCTATATTATTGAAATGCTGTTAGCAGTAATAGAAGGAAAAATTATGAATTAAGAACACAATCCCTAAAAAATCTATTTCCTGGGCCCTCCCTGGTGGCGCAGCGGGTTAGAGCACTGCACTGGGAAACTGAAGCCACTTCCGCATGGGTTCGATCCCCGCCTGCCCCGGAGGCGACCACATGGCGAGGCAGACCTCTCCTGGCCCGCCCGCTGCTCCCCTCAGCAGTGTACTTCGTCGATCTGCCTGTTCTGCTCCCC